AAAAGTTGGTTTATACTGTAACTCTACTTGTTCTGGGTGCTCAGGTGAAGGGTGCAATAATAGTCCACCAATAATTGAAGATGAGGATGACATAGATCACGATGAAGATGTAATTGATGACGAATAAAATTAATATTATAATTGTTTTACCTATAAATGTAAATATTTTCTACTATTTATGTAAATGTATAAGAATATATGGTGCCTTTTTATGTTGATAAATTTTTTTGTATTTAATTCTACTTTTTTCAATTTATATCTTATAAATTAGTTTATAAAAACTGCAATGTTGTAAAGGGTGATTTTCAAAAGTTGAAAAGTTGCAAAATTTTGGCAAAAAATTGTTTTCACCTATAGCACTCATAACAATTGATTTTTAAGGGTTGAAAATGTATGAATTTGTATTTTAAAGTATAAAAAAATCAATATTTAACTAATCCAAACCAAATTTCACTCATCTTAAGATTTATAATATTATTTACAATTTTTGAAAATTAGGGGTAGTTTTCATCCCTAAGAACAATCAGGGTTCATCGGCATGACATAAACTATAAAGCAGAGGGTGAGTTGAGCTTAAGTCCAAATTTTTATGCAAATCGTTCCAAGGTGAAATCATTTTCTTCGCATTACTAATTTTTTTATATTAAATCTCTAATAAGGGTCGCTTTTTAAGGGTTGAAATATGATGGAACTTTATTCAAAAGCACGAAACTATCATTATTTAATTAATTCAAACCAAATTTTACCCATATTCAGGTTTAATATGTTATTTTATAATTTTTGACAATTACGGGTAGTTTTCACCCCTTAGAACAATCAGGGTTCGTCGACATGACATAAACTATAAAGCAGCGGGTGAATTGAGCTTAAATCCAAATTTTTATCCAAATCGATCCAAGGCGAAATCATTTTTTTAGAATTAGTAATTTTTTTACATTAACCTCTAACAAGGGTTGCTTTTTAAGGGTTGAAATATGATGGAACTCTATTCAAAAGTATAAAATAATCATTATTTAACTAATTCAAACCAAATCTTACCCATATTCAGGTTTAATATGTTATTTTATAATTTTTGACAATTAGGGGTAGTTTTCACCCCTAAAACCCTTCAGCGCACTTCGGTTCGATATAGATTTTGATCCTTGGGCTATCACCTACCTTCTGTTAAAATTTCAACTGGATACATGCAGGACGAAAAAATTGCGAGGTTTTAACTTTTTTCGAGATTCATTTCCTGAACTATTATCGTTTCCTTAGACAAACCCGTCTTACGCAAACAACATTGTTGTGAGACAGATAGTTGAACGATATTTTATACAATGTCTATACCCAGGTATGGATTTATTTTTGTCCAAGTTTTATATTGGTCCACTATTTCAAATGCAGTTCAAACAGACATGTATTAAATTGTATGTTCCGTTTTAATTTGGTTCAATCTATATATATATATAATATAAATCTATATATATATATATATATATATATATATATATATATATATATACGTTTGTACAAATTACACAATTTAACTGTCACAAAAATCACAGACGTAACCTTCGGGAGAGTCAACTCCACTACAAAGCTCATGAACCCATCTGCAACAAACTGAACACTGAAACCAGTATTCATCCTTTTTACTAGAGTCGTCGCAAATCAAACATCTACTTTCGACGTCGGCCTCCGTTCCGTCCAGATCATCGTCATCACATAACTGACTATCAGATATTTCTTCTCCAGACTCACTTTCTTTGAAAACGGTTCTTTTAACTGATTTCATTTTATTTTTAGCGGAATATTCTAATCCAAATTTATCTTTTTCTTGCGAGGTTAACTGTCTCTTGCGGCGTTGAACTGTCCGTAAGCAACTGTAATCAACTAGAGGAGAATTTGCTTGTACAACAGTTGATGTGGTTAAGTCTGACTCAGGAACTTTTGATTGTACTTCATCATCAGTTTGCTGATCCTCTTCATATATTGTTATTGCTGGCATATGATCAGTAGATTGCAAAAATTCTTCACTTCTAAATTTTTCAGGTTGGAATGGCCATATTCCTGAAGCACTAAATCCAGATTGTGCTTTTTCCTTTGTAGCAACTTCAACGTAAGCTTTATGAAAGAGTTCTGACACATTATAGAGTGTGATTCTTTCAAAATGTAAAAGATAGTTGTCATACTGTTGTTTAAAAGCTGCTTTGAGTGGACGATAAAACCTTATATCCAAAGGCTGCAACCGATTGGATGTACGTGGTGGAATGGTTAGCAATTCAATCCCATTCTGATTACAAAATTCATAAATTTCTATAGACAAATGACTCGAATGATTATCCATAATAATTAGCACAGGCTCATCCTTGGAAGGTTTCACAATAGTTTTAAAATGCTGAAGCCATTGGTAAAATAATTGTTCATTACTCCATCCTGATTTTGAGCAAGTATATCTTGCATCGGGCGGCCCGTTCTTTTCTAACCTGTTCGTCATATGAGCTCTCGGAAAAATAAACATAGGTGGAACATAACATGTACCAGCAGCATTATAACAACAAATTACTGTTACAGTTTTTCTCCTTTCAGCAAAAGTTTTTGTTTCAAATTGTTTCACTTCTTTGGAGCCAAGACGTTGGACGGTACAAATACCTGTTTCATCTACGTTAAAAATCTTATTATCATTGAATCGATACTTCTCGTACAGTTTCTTCAGATTCGTAAAAAACTCACTAATCTGTATCTGGTTGAACGCAGAACTGTTTATGTTTGTTGGTGCTGGTTTAATTAAAGATACCTCATTGTTCCTTTTCAAAAATTGATGGCACCAGTCTTTACCTGCCATTTTAATTGTATCATTAAAAGTGTTTGGAATGTTGTTAACTGTTGCGTAAGAATATGCTAACCGTCGAAGTTCATTTCTTGTGACACCATAAAACAGTTTTGTCATTTTTAATACACAATTCGCTAGATACTTTTCTTGGTCCTGGGTAAAAATAGGAGGTCGACCCAATTGAGGTCCAGTAATATCGCGTCCTCTATCATAGTCTTTCTTTCTGTCACGAATGGTGGATTCAGGTATACCAAACTTTCTTCCAGCATCTCTAGTTGATCCACCATTTGCAACGAACAATATGGCTTTTTTCATTACCTCTGCGTTCCAGGAGGCTCTTTTTGTTTTGCCGGTGTATCTTGGTATCTGAAATAGTTTAAAAAACTTTGTATTGTAGACTAAATTATACAAAATTTAGAACATAACAGAATTGTACGCATTGCGCAAGTTATAGTACAATGACCGCTAGAATCCAGTATATTCGACCACGCGAATTCAATAAGAAGTTACCGCATATCAGCACCGAATATTCCGGAGCCTTACAATATTGCGACTTACTAAAACAGCAAATTCAGCAAGTGGAATTATTATAAATAAAGCATTGTAAAACCTCCTTTTTTAGTCTGGCATATAGTGTTGTATTCGAAGTCTGACATTAACATAATAATAATCTCTTATTGGCGACGTGCAAGTACTTGGATGTGATACGAGAAACGATCGTGCGCGAGTAGCGGAGAAATCTTGCATTTTTTACTGCACATTTCATAGATTTCATAAATTCATATTGTCAATTGTCATATTTCATATTCCTTTATTTATTTACACCTTCTGTCACTGAAGAAAATGGGATTTAGGAAATACTGTGTTATAAATTGTAAAAATACAACAAAAAATTGTCAATTTAAGTTTTATTCGTTTTCAACTTCGAAGCACAAATTACTACAAAGAGAAAAGTGGATTTATATAATAAAAAAGCATAAGTAACATAACCTAAATTATGCATTATTCTTGCGCCCGATTCAGTCAAAAGTCAGTTTGAAATAAATAATAAATAAAAGTTCACTTTTAAGTGTAAATTTTAGTTTTTAACAGTCACTTAGAATTTATTTTAACCCAAAAATAAAGTTTAATGTTTAAATTTTATTTTTTTGAAGTTTACAAAAATGCATCAAGTTTTTCTGAAGATGCATTAAGATATATTCGCTGTCCAAAAGTTTACAGGGAAAGAATTAATTGTTCAAACCAATATGATGATATCGTGGGCTTAACCTGCTAATTTATGCATTAGCATTATTTATGGTAATTTATTTTTCTTAATTCTTCCATTCTTTTTTGACATTTGCCACTACTAAAGCTTTTCCCTTTGACTCAGTGCTTGGTTGAAAAGTTATTTGGTGATTTACTTTCTCAAATCCAGTTTTTATTATTGCATCCATATTAACAGTAATGCTGTAATTTAATAATATATTTATTTGTATTTACACTACATACAACGTTTACCTTTTAATAAAATACCGATATAACCTCAATCTTACTTTTTCTTCTTATTCTTTTTTGGGGCTACGTCCTTGACAGTTATCCGGTAACCTCGATCTAACATGAAAGCGCAGTAAATTTTGCTGATTTACGACACCAGGTGTTGCTGTTCCGAACTTGCACGGTCCCAATATTTGTATTTAAAATTTAAAGTCTGACATTAATGTTACAATAATACTGTTATATTTGTATCTGAAGTTTGAATAATATATTTTGAGTTATAACTAAAATCTTTGCTAGTACAAATAAAACTTTATTTTGAATGTTCGTGTTTTTAAAAAAGTGTTTTCCAAAAGAACATTCATAATTCGCATTATTAGCAACATGGACCTATTGATTATAAAAATTCACCAAAATAAAGCTGTGAGACAAGAAATGACTTTGTCAGACTCATGCTTGTAGGATTAAAGAGGTAGAAATGATTATTATAACAGTAGCCTAATGTCAACTGGCTTCCTGATCAGTCTGCCCTGCAAAACTTGATCAAAATACTTTTGAACATTTAAAAACGTAGCTGTAACGCTATAAACGTTAAATGTTTGTTATTTTTCTTCAAATAATTATTTTACTCAAAAATTTCTTTTGATTTTAACAATTTGTGAAGTTTCTGGTTTACTAATAATGGTGTAATCATTTAAAAGTAGTTTACCTTGATATTTATTGTTTCCGACGAGTTGTGGTTTTCCATTTTTAAATCGCTTTCGTTGTGTTCGTTTTTAACAGAATTGGCTATGCAATTTCCTCTTTTCCGAAGAGACAAAATCATCTGTTTTCTTTTAATGGTGCCGGGTGGTTCAGAAAATAAAAGTTCAATTTCAGGTTCGTTAATGTGTATCCTTTCCAGGTGTTTGACGAAATGGTGTACCTCTGCTTCACAGTAAATGCAATAACCTTTTCGAGTTCGGTTGCCTTTTTTAACTGTAACCTTAGTTTTATCTTCTTCCTGTAAAATTAATATTACTATTACCTCTTGTTTAATTATAATATCGCTGAAACAGTTATTTTATTTCAGGAAAGAATTTAAGGGAATAAGTGAATAATTTAAGGGATAATCCAAAGCCAATAAAAAAGAAAAGAAGTAACAAAATTGTTCTCAACAGTATTAGAATATACTTTTATAGCATCTTTTCTTCCACTCTGTACAAGGTTATAATTTTGCTCTTACAAATCTTCGAAAGAGAAACACGAATTGCGTCTCAAAATCTTCGAGTAGAATAAACATATTCCAATTGTTTATTTACATCGACAAAAACCAAGAAGCTTGCATGAAATACATGCGTATTAATAAGCATTCACGTTGAAATCAGTCTTGGTCTGGCATTTAGCCAGTCAAGTAGTGCTGGGATTATCACAGTAGTTTCACGAAATGTTCTATCTGACTTCCCACACAGCCAGCATCGCCCAGTTGCAGGTCAATCACCGATGGTGGAAAGCCTGGATACAGTCATTAAAGAAGCGATGGGAGGAAGCAAGATAGGTCGCCAAGATGTCAACAGGATGCCATACTGGTGGAATGCTGACATCGAGGCACTAAGAAATTAATGTATAGCAATGAGAAGAAGGTTAACGAGAACAAGAGGCAGAGCAGGGATCAACCCTGAGGTCATCGAGGAAGAGTACCGCGCAAGGAAGAGGGAACTTTAGAGGAAAATCCGTACAGAAAAAAGAAGGCACTGGAAAGAGCTTTGTGAAAAGCTGGATGAAAACATCTGGAGTCACGGATACAAGATCGTTATGAAGAAGTTCCATGCGTATCCACCTTACGAAATGCCTATGGACAAAAAGCTTGGGGTAACACGAAAGCTCTTTCCGGACGGCAGATGGCATGGTGTATGGAGGGATGAAGGAGCTAAGCGGGCTGTACCCTTTACTATGGATGAACTTGTCTAGTCAATGGGTTCACTCAAGACGCATATGTTCCAAGAACATTGTGAATCTAATTTCATACGATAAATAAAAAATTTTCTTGACCAGACATAACCTTGGACACTAACTGAAGCATCACTTAAAAACTTAAATGTGGTGCTACAGAAGAATGTTCAGAATCTCTTGAATGGATCATGTATATCAAACAAAGAAGTCCTGAAAAGACTTGGTAAGAAATGTTAAAATTTTTTTCAACGTGAAGCAGCACATGTTAGAATATTTGGGCCACATAATGACATATTAACAGCTCTATGGTCTACTGCAGCTGATACTGTAAAAGTATGAGGTACAAGAGGTCTAGTCAGACGAATAATATCATGGGTTTAAATCTTTAGAAAGTGGTTTTCACTATGTATCAATGGACTATTTAGAGCAGCTGCAAAATAAAGCAATAGCCAGCCATTTTAGTTGTCTATATCGTCACAAAGTTAATAAGAATAATATCTAAATCTAAAAATAGTTTACCTGACTATTGTGATTTTTAACATCATCAATGTTAGAAGATCTATTTTCCGAATCATTTGTTGCAGCAATTGATTCTGTCTAAAAAATTAAGAGATTTTCAGTTATTACAAAATAAGATGCTTTATGAGATATTAGACACTTTCATTTAGAGAATATAATAAACATTTATTGATCAGTTACATTCTATCTATCTATACAGCCCTAAACATCCATCCTTGGATATAGGCCTCCTCCTCCTTCTTCCATGCCTCTCTTGGGCAATTTGCATCCATTTTGACCCGGCGTGTTTTTTCAGGTCATCTGACCATCGCATTTGTGGCCTTTTCTTTTTCGTTTGTGATTCCATGGTCTCCAATGTATAATTGTCTCAGTCCATCTTTCATCTTTCTGCATTAGGGTGTGTCCAGCGAACTTCCATTTAAGCTTTGCTATTTGGGTTGAGATATGTCACTTTTGTTTTATTACGGATCCATTCGTTTCTTTTTCTGTCTGATAGTTTAATGTTCAGCATTTGTCTTTCCATGGATCTTTCTATCTTTGCTATTTTTTCCATATTTTCCTTTGTAAACGTCCATGTCTGAGAGCCATATGAGAGGACAAGGAGTATACATTGATTGAAGACTCTCGTTTTTAGGTATTGGGGGTATTTTGAATTCTTTAGAATATAAGACAGTTTTCCGAATGATGCCCAGGACAATCTTATTCTTCTCTTTATTTCTTCGGTTTGATTTTCTTTATTTAATTTAGTGATTTGGCCTAGATATATATACTCTTTTACTTGTTCTATTCTTGTTTGTGCCACTGTAATTATTAGTTCTTCTGGTTGATTAGTCATGGTTTTTGTTTTACTGTAATTCATCTTACGATTATACAATTATATTCTATCTATACAGCCCTTAAAATCCATCCTTGGATATAGGCCTCCTCCTCCTTCTTCCATGCCTCTCTATCTTGGGCAATTTGCATCCATTTTGACCCGGCGTGTTTCTTCAGGTCATCTGACCATCGCATTTGTGGCCTTCCCCTTTTACGTTTGTGATTCCATGGTCTCCAATGTATAATTGTTTTAGTCCATCTTTCATCTTTCTGCCTTAGGGTGTGTCCGGCGAACTTCCATTTAAGCTTTGCTACTTGGGTTGAGACATCTTTCACTTTTGTTTTATTACGGATCCATTCGTTTCTTTTTTTGTCTGATAGTTTAATGTTCAGCATTTGTCTTTCCATGGATCTTTCTGTCTTTGCTATTTTTTCCATATTTTCCTTTGTAAACGTCCATGTCTGAGAGCCATATGTGAGGACAGGGAGTATACATTGATTGAAGACTCTGGTTTTTAAGTATTGGGGGTATTTTGAATTCTTTAGAATATAAGACAGTTTTCCGAATGATGCCCAGGCCAATCTTATTCTTCTCTTTATTTCTTCGGTCTGATTTTCTTTATTTAATTTAGTGATTTGGCCTAGATATATATACTCTTTTACTTGTTCTATTTTTGTTTGTGCCACTGTAATCATAAGTTCTTCTGGTTGATTAGTCATGGTTTTTGTTTTACTATAATTCATTTTGAGTCCAATTTTTGTCGATTCTCTATCTAGTTCTTCCATCATTCTTTGTAATTCTTCACTTTTTTCTGTTATTAATACAATATCATCAGCATATCGTAAATGATTCAGATTTTGCCCGTTTATATTAATTCCCAAGTCATCCCAGTGTAGTCGTTTAAAAACATCTTCTAGCGCTTGGTTAAATAACTTGGGCGATATGGTATCTCCTTGTCTTACTCCTCGGTTTATTTTAATAGGCTCCGTTTGTTTCATTAGCTTAATAGTTGTTGTTGCCTTGTTGTATATATTTGTAATTAAGTCGGTATATCGGTAGTCTATTCTGCTGTTTTGTAGGGAATTCTGTACTGCCCAGTGTTCCACACTATCAAATGCCTTCTCAAAGTCAATAAATGCCATGTATAGCGGGATATGATATTCGTTAGTTTTTTCGATTAAAATCTTCATCGTTAAAAGGTGGTCACTTGTACTGAAGCTCTTTCTAAATCCGGCTTGTTCTCTTGCCTGGTATCCATCTAATTTAGTTGTTAATCTATTTGTTAATATTTTGGTTAATAGTTTGTACATCACATTTAATAAAGTTATGGGTCTGTAATTCTTTAGATCCTTTTTATCTCCTTTCTTAAATAGTAACAGTGTTATTGCTTCGTTCCAACTGTTGGGTATTTGTTTTGTCATTAAAATTTTATTCATAAGTATGTACAAAACTTCTCTAGTTGTTTTCCCACCATGTTTTAGCATTTCTACAGTCACCCCGTCTTTTCCTGGCGATTTATTGTTCTTCATCTCTTTGAGTGCTCTTCTTATCTCGTTCTTACTGATCTCTGGTTGTAAGTCGGAATTAACATTTTTTATTTTTATTTGTAGTTGCTTAAGGATTTCTTGGGTTGGTTTCTGTTTTGTATTGTAGAGGTTTTTATAATATTCTTGTGTTATCTGTATAATTTCTTCTACATTATTGGTCTCTGTACCTTCTTTGTTCTTTATACTATTAATTTGTATGGTTCCAAGCTGTGGTTTTAAGCACTTCATGTTTTTTATTTTGTTCAATTGCTTTTTCTATTTTTTCTTCCTGTACTCTCCTTTTATAATCCTTGATATTCCTTCTGATAGCTTTGTTTACCTCTTTGTAATCTACTGTGTTTCTCTTATCTTGTTCCAGTAATGTTTTTCTTTTACTCATAAGATTTTTTGTTTCCTGGGATACATAGTTTTCCTTTTTTATTCTTGTTTGTGCTACCTCTTTTCCCGCCTTTGCTAATGTATCGGTTAATAGCTGATTTATTTCATCGATATTTTTGTTTTCCAAATCTCTAGTGACCGGTATACCTTCCTTTATTTTTTGTTTATATTCGTCTTTTGATTGCTTAAGTTTTTCCATATCTAGTTTCGATACATTTTCTATTTTCTTTTTTGTTTCGAATTGGCTATTAATCCTGAGTTTGGCTCTGACAAGTCTATGATCGCTACCGGTTGAGAAGCGGTTCAGTACTGTAACATCTTTGATGATGGTTTTTTTCTGTTGTAAGGATGTAATCTATTTCGTTTTTTGTATTACCGTTAGGACTTATCCATGTCCATTTTCTTTGTGGTTTTTTGTTAAAAAACGAGTTCATAGCAAAAAGTTGTCTCTCCTCCAAGTAGTTCATTAATGTGTGTCCTCTATTATTTCTTTCGCCATATCCATACTTTCCAATTCTATGTTCTTCTCCATCTATTCTTCCCCCTAATTTGGCATTGAAGTCTCCAATTATTAGCGTCAATTTAGTTTTCTTTTCTTCCATAGCGAGTGTTAGTTCTTCGTAGAAGTTTTCAATATCTTCATCTGTATATGAACTTGTATTATTATATTATTATTATACAACATTATTATATTATTATATAACAATTATATTATTATTATACAATTTTTGTCGATTCTCTATCTAGTTCTTCCATCTTTCTTTGTAATTCTTCACTTTTTTCTGTTAATAATACAATATCATCAGCATATCGTAAATGATTCAGATTTTGCCCGTTTATGTTAATTGCCAAGCCATCCCAGTGTAGTCGTTTGAAAACATTTTACATTTTGAAAACATTTGAAAACAGTTACATTAGGCAAGTAAAATATATTTGTCATATAGGTACTTGGTATTTTAGAAATTAAAAAAGGAACTATCCTTTGGAGCAAAATAGCCCAAAAACTAACTCTAGCTAATAACTAAATAGAACATTTATTAATTAAAGGTGGTACGAACTATGCTGTCAGCTAATTACTTATGAAAGATAAATAAATAATAAAGACAATTAATGAAATTAACAAGAACAACAAGACCACAGTTATAATGCCAACAGGAGAAACAGAATGCATAGAACTAAAAGGAGGAATCCGCCAAGGAGACTCGCTCAGCCCAGTGTTGTTCAATATGGTGATGAATCAAATAATTCACGAAGTAAGAAAAGGACAGGGATACCACATGGGAGCGCATAAAATCGCGACACTATGCCATGCCGATGATGCAGTACTAATTACTCATAACGAAGATGACCTACAAAGGCAGCTCCACACCTTCAATATCACAGCAAACAAACTTAATATGAGAATATCAGTAGAAAAAACTATGTATATAAATGTATATAAATGTATAGTGATCAGTAAAGAGCCGCGTAGATGCAAACTAGAAATAGACGGCAAAATTGTAGTACAAGTAATGAAATTTAATTACCAAGGAGTAGAGATCACTAGTGACAGGGATATAAGAACAGAGACCACAAGGCAAGCATAAAAAGCGGCAAGTGGTTGCCTCCGAGAAACCATACGGAGAAACAAATATCTGACCATGGAAAACAAAATGAAAGTATACAAGACAACAGTAAGACCAATCCTAACATATGCAGCGGAGACAAGGACCAATACAAGAAAGACAAAGCAGAAGACCCGTTGGAAGGCTGCCAAAAAGGTGGAAAGATAATGTACAGTCAACAATGACTGAAACAGAATAAGAGGCAGACAAACAGGAATAATCCTAGTCGCACGAAGAAGATAAATAAATATTAGACAATGTATTAAGGAAAGGATATTAAATCATAGAATAGAACAAAAGCATATTATTTAGTTAGAAATTCTATTGAAACTTCATAAATTCAAGTGTTTATTGGTTTCGAAACAAGAAATGTGATTAAAAATTGTAATTTCATGTAAGTTCATGCAACTTAATGAAAAATTCTCACCTTAATATTACAGGCTTCTGATAAATACTGGTCTTTTAAGCTAACATCAATGTTTACACTGGAATCATTTTCATTTGTACACTCTGTTTCAGTTTGTGATGTATTCTACAAAGATTTTGATTAAATATAGCACATTTTTACATTTATAATACTTATTACCAACTAAATTTTTCAACATACCTTACAGAACTCTTGCATATCTGAAATAAAAAAAAATATATAAATACTAATAATATGAAATAAAATCACAGGTGATATTACGTTTAGAATTAATGTTCCATTCATCAGTCGTAATGTCACATTCTTGTACTTCATTTTTAATCAGCTCTAACATACAGGTGTCCATTAGCTCCACCTCATCTGGTTCTACTATTTCAGTCTTAATTCTAATTTGCTTATTTGGAAGCAGCCTCAGCAGCATATTTTCTGTTTCTATACAGTTTGCTATAAAATTTTCAATGGATTGAAGTTTACTTATACATTTGTTACATATATTTTGAGGCATATCAGGATTGGCACTGACCTAAAAAGACTAGTTTATGAATTCAATCAATATTTGTTTATCTGTAATTAATCCCATCAACTGTGTAATATTATTATAGTGGAATAATCATTTTATATGTTATGTATATGCCATGTTATTAAGTAAAGTCAGCTATTATTTACGAAATTACCAGCTCTTTATGGAAATTCAAGTTAAATATTGTATTATATTATCAATAAGCATTGTGCCTGTCTCTATTGGTGAAAAAATTCAGTTTTTGAGTATCTCTGAACACATATAATAAAAAAATAACATTAATACTTTGTTATCTTTTCTTTTTCTTGAAGGAAAAGTCCTAGTGTGTTGAAATTGAGTAATAACATTCTTATTGCTAGATGCAATAACCTTATTGAACTGGGGTCCTAGAATTTCAGGTCAACAGGTCATAATTTTTTTAATATTCTTGTACCTTTAATATCATTAAATGCATATATATATATATATATATATATATATATATATATATATATATATATATACAGGGTGGTCCTTAAGTAATTGTACAAAAAGAAACCGCAGATTCTATACTTTAAAATATTACGATTTAAGCCAACTTACTTTAATAAAATGTTGATATTAAAAAAGATACAGGGTGGTAAAGTAGAAATTTAAAATTTCATTTTTCGCTATAACTTTCATGTTTGTAAACATTTATATATAAAAATTTACAGCTGGGTACTATTTAATATTAGAAATTATAATTTGATGAACACTTTGATATAGCTAATAGAGGGCGCCACATATGCCACATACGTCGCATACATTTGCACTTAACTTTTTTGTTCTTTAAGTTACCGGTATTTTTTATGAAAAATATTAAAGATACGTTATTTTAACAAAGAAAAGGTATACTTGTTAATAACTTCAAAACTCAACAGTTTTCGAGATAATCGCATTTTACAAATCAACTGCATAATTCTGAATTAACGCAATTACTCCAGGCAATGAAAGAAAAATAGATAAAAACATCAATACTTCCGAATTTTGTTATAAAATACCTTTAATAAAGTCAATAATTAACGAAATATTAAATAAAATAAATATATCAGTAGGATAATTAATAGTAGGATCTGATAATATAACAGAATAATTGGATTTTACATCAAACATTTTACGTTTTGTATTAAATTGAAGTCATAATCAAAACATTTTATTTACAAACCAAATTAAGAAATAGTTAAACTAAATAACATTAAACTTTTTGTCAAAGTAAGTGTTCGATATGTCCACCATTTTCTTTAATTCATTTGTCAATACATTCCATAAAATATCGTCTCATATTAAATAGCATCATTGGTTCTAAACAAACTGCTGCAGTATTTATTATAGTTGTTTTAAGTATGATAATAAGTAATTTTTTGAAATTTTTATGAATTAAATAATTATATTATTATCTCACCACAAGAATATGACTACAACGAACAATCCAACGTTCAGGAAAGTGTATTTAAATACTGTCTCACTCCGCTTTCTCTGTAATGTAATGGTTTACCATCTTGTAGAAACCACATATTTCGCCTTACGTTGATGACAATTCTTCCAATATATCAATAAAACCATTTTATAAAAAATGTAAATAAATCTCGTTATTCAAATTGCAAGGTAATTCGCATATCCGTAAAACATCATTCAAAATTCATATGTAAAATGCATGTCCTATGGTTTGGAACCATTGATAATTATTTTTTACGGATATGCGAATTACCTTGCAATTTGAATCACGAGATTTATTTACATTTTTTATAAAATGGTTTTATTAATATATTAGAAGAATTGTCATCAAATTTAAGGCAAAATATGTGGTTTCTACAAGATGGTAAACCATTACATTACAGTGAAAGCGGAGTGAGACAGTATTTAAATACAACTTTCCTGAACATTAGATTGTTTGTAGTAGTCATATTTTTGCGGTGAGATATTAATATAATTATTTAATTCATAAACATTTCAAAAAATTACTTATTATTATACTTATAACACTTATAATCAATACTGCAGCAATTTCTTTAGAACCAATGACTCTATTTAATATGAGACGATATATTATCGAATGTATTGACAAATGAATTAAAGAAAATGGTGGACATACTGAACATTTACTTTGACAAAAAGTTTAATTTTATTTACTTTAACTATTTCTTAATTTGGTTTATAAATAAAATGTTTTGATTATGACTTTAATTTAATACAAAACGTAAAATGTTTGATGGAAAATCCAATTATTCTGTTATTTATCAAATCATATTATTTTATTCTACTGATATATTTATTTTATTTAATAATTCATTAAATATTAACTTTATTAAAGGTATTTTATACCAAAATTCAGAAGTATTGATGTTTTTTCTTTAATTTTCTTTCGTTAACTGGAGTAATTGCGATAAATCAGAATTATGTAGTTGATTCCTAAAATGCAATTATCTCGAAAACTGTTGAGTTTTTAAGATATTAACAAGTATACCTTTTTTTTGTTGAAATAACGTATCTTTAATATTTTTTATTACAAATACCGGTAGCTTAAAGAGCAAAAAAGTTACGTGCAAATACATGCCACATATATGGCATATGTGGCGCCCTCTATCAGCTACATCAAAGTTTGCATCAAATTATAATTTCTGATATTTAATAGTACCCAGTTGTAAATTTTTATACATAAATGTTGACAAACATAAAAGTTATAGCGAAAAATAAAATTTTAAATTTCCACTTTAACACCCTGTATCTTTCTTAATATCAACATTTTATTAAAGCAACTTGACTTAAATCGTAATATTTTAAAGTGTAGAATCTACGGTTTCTTTTTGTACAATTACTTACGGACCACCCTGTATATATATATATATATATATATATATATATATATATATATATATATATATATATATTACACAGTTTATTAGTGCTGCAGTCAGAAGTTTGGCCAGGATTTGTTGCTTGCCAATTTCTTCGTTTGCTCTTTGGTGACTCCTCTGCTGTCTAGGATGGCAGCAATTTGATCGTCCCAGGTCTTCATGGGTCTGCCCCTCAGTCTTTTCAAGATTCTTCTCGCTTCCCACACTTGTTTCACTGGGCTTTCTTTATCCATCCTTACCATGTGGCCATCTCAGTTGGGCTTCTTCGATTTTCTTCTCTATTGATTGAACTTTAAGGCGTTTTCTTATTTTATTGTTCCATATCCTGTCCATTCTGTTCACCCCTAGTACTCTTCTTAGATACTTCATTGCAATACTTTGCAGTTTATTTTTTAGTCTGGTGGTGAGCGTCCCACTTTCACATCCAAATGCATTTTGTATTAGATGCTTGAGTGTAAAACTATGGTCATGGATGCCCATGGATCTTCCCTTCCTGAAACCGCTCTGTGACTGCTCCAGCTTATGGTCTACTTCTTGTAGTAGTCTTTTCTCCAGTACTCGTTTGTAAACTTTGGAAGGGATACTCAGGAGAATTATACATCTATAGTTGCTGCAGTCTTATCTGTCACTTTTTTTGAAAATGGATAGAATAACGCCCACTTGCCAGTCTTTTGGTATCTTGCTATCATTCCATGCTTTATTGCAAACTTTTCTAAACATTTCATTTCCATTTTCTCCCATATTTTTTAGCATTTTCGCAGTTATCTATATATTTCCCATCTTATCATAGCCAGCTGCCTTTCCTCTTTTGAGCTGGAGTATTATTTCTCTTATTTCCTCTATTGTTATTTTGTTTTGGTTTGGGTTCTCATGTGGGTTTTCTTCAGTGTTGTCTTCAGTCTAATTATTTCATTATTAGAGTCTTCTTGAGTCAAGAGGTCTTCGAAATATTCTCTCCACCTGTTCATAATACTTTTGTTCTCGTAGAGGATATGGTCATCTTCGTTTTTAATCTGTTTTGATGTTTGTTGTCTGTTCTCTGTCTTAGGCTTCTCAGAGTTTTGTAAAATAGTTTTTGGTTAGTGTAGTAGTCTTTATCCAGCTTATTCCTAAAATCCTCCCAGCTCTTCTTTTTTGCTTCAATCACCATGTCTTTTATTTTTGCCCTCTGTTGCTTATATTTTTGATAGCTTTCTGCATTCTGGTTCCCTAGATATTTCTTCCACGCTAACTTCTAAGTTAGCTAAGTTTTTGCAAAGTTTCTTCTAAGCAATAGTTCTGGTTTAAGTGCTTTTGTAGACTATTGTTCACATAGTTTTTGTATTTCGGTGCTATTTTTTTATCTGCTAACTTGTATGACCTAATAACTGCGTTGGTGAGGTTTCTTGGGGTTTTGTCTTTTTTTTTTGGTACCTTCTGTGTGCGTTTTTGTTTAACACTGATACTAGCTCGGGATACTACCAGGTAATGGTCGCTATATATTTCTGCTTCCCTTCTTACTCTGACATCTTTGATACATTGTCTTAAGGGTCTGTTCACCAATACATACTCAATAATGGCCTTTTCTCCTCTCCTCTTGACTTCTCTGGTATATTTGTGCACATCTTTGTGTTGGAAAAACGAATTCATAATTATCAGGTCATCCTCTCTACAAAAGTCTATAATTCGTTGACCATTATTGTTTCTTACTTGTTCTCTGTGTTGTCCTAGTACATCCGAGGATTCTTTGTCTTTTAGGCCTACTCTATCATTGAGATTACCAATTATTATTATGTTGCCTTCTGCGCTATCTATGATCTCTGTGGCCTTTTCCCAAAAAATGTTCTTGGTGTTTGCTCTTTAGGTATGGTTTGGTCCATATATAAAAACATATTGTTAAATATATTATTAATAGAAACATCATATTTGTACATTATTTATACAACTTTATATCTATGAAGTATTGTTGTCATTAGTTATTGTTAGTATGTTGATATCAAGGACACAATTTGTTATATACATGTTAAATAAATGTTTATTATACTAAGCTTTTGGAATTATTTATTTGCAACTAATAAAACTCACCAAACAGTACAACTGTTATAGATGACTGATAATCATACAGAGAAGGGAAGGGAAATTGAGCATTAAAAGTACTGATTTTTAGGAAACTCTATAAATTCCTGTAAGATATTTTGTTACAATTAGCAATATGTAAATCAAGAAATTATTATTACAAGAGATTAAGAATACAGATAATACAGCAATAACTCACTATTTTAGGGCATGCCCTTTGAAGAAATAATTTTGACACTGAAGCTGAATATATGCATATTTGAGTGTTGACTACTAGAGGTAAATAATAAGATAAAAATTATAACTATGCATAGCAAGTTTCTAAGGTGTCGAATATATAAGTGATATGTAGCATATTAAAATTAATTTTTCTCAAACATTTGTAGACAAATACATGATCTTGATGAAAATGAGTATGTATACAACAAAGGTAAATGTTGATTATTAGAGAGAACAAATTATTTTTCAGTACAAGTTCATTCTTAAGTACCTATATCACTCATTTAGAAAATAAGGAATGCATTTTTTAACATTTTAAAAAATTTTTCACTGAGCTTAGGTACCCAATATATTTATCAAATTAGTTATTATGGCTAAGAATTCATCGAAAGCTCCATGTTTACATTCCTGAAAATAAGGTAAACATATTGTTTAATTTCAGTATATTTATGTATGTTGGACAGTGAAGATGCCAGTTTTTACCTGAATTGTAAAATTAGAGCACATAAAAACTATAGTAAGTAAAACAAAATTGAAATAATGAAGCTTTTGATATATCTAGAAAATCTTTAAATATTACCTCGATATTTGTAATAAGTTTAAATGTCCCCATTAGAGAGGATTGTTCTTGAAATGCGAGCAAATTGTTCCTACTCTGGCATATTCTGCATATATATGGAAAATCTATATCTTGCAATTTCGTCTCTTTATTATCAACCTGTTCAACGATATTCATTCTTTGGTTTTCTCAAGTATACTCTATGTTCAAAATAAGCAATAAATAAATATTTAACAGCAATCAATCCATGAAGCAATCAGACTTGCTAAAGTAGAAAATGTAAAAATTTATAGGTAATTTTGTTTGGCAAAAACTTTTACATTTACTTTTTCTGTTTGGTTCTAAATGTTGAAGAGTTTATTTACATTTTTTTATTTATTAAAATATTTAACTCGTTTCACAAATAAATCGACTTTTTGGTAAATGGTAAAACGGAAAACGGCAACGACGGGTAAACCTTTTGTTTTGTTTATTGGATGTCACGTCACTTGTCTATGTCTATGTCTATTTAGAGACTTCATTGGCGGGTAATTCACAAGTTTCAAGGGTTATTTTGTTAAAAAATATTGATCGAAAATTTCATTTTATTTAATTCCACGAGGAAACTAAGTTCCTGTAGCTGGCTGTATACCATATATCACAAAAAAATTTGTTAAAATCCTTTATAAAAGGTATATAAAAAAATTTTATATACCTTTTATAAAGGATTTTAACAAATTTTTTCATTTTATTTATTACAAATTGGGATAGAAAAAAATACAATTTTTAGACAATAGTGTTTGATAGCATTAGATTATTTATCTCTATCAAGACTAGCCTTGACTCCCATCTCCAGACTCTCCATCCATCCAACTGGCTGCATAAGCAGTTCCCGGAAATGAGTTCTTGTTATTGGGCAGCTAGGAATCCGAAATATCTATCTATCTATCTAGCTATCTTTAAAAATACTAGAATTTTAGTTTCGGAAACATTTAGCTATAAACCGAACATTTCGCTATGACGAACTACCGCATTTATTATATTTTGTAGTTCTTGTGCGTTGCTTGCTATTTGGATGGTATCATCAGCGTACCTGATGTTGTCTATGCTGGTTCCGGTTATCATGATTCCACCCTGGAACTCGTGTCTCACTCCTCGTTGGATTCGTATATCTTCGGATGTTGTGTGCTCTATTCAATGTTGCCGTTTGGTGCCAATATAGTTCTGAGGTAATTCGCAAGTCTTGTTAAGACGAGGAGAAGGACATATTTTACGAGAATGTCGGACAATGTCAGAACAACGACATAAAAATTATTATTGGTAATCCGTAAAATAGTTTCGAAACACAATTCAGGATTTTGTATTAGATGTCGCTATCGCGTCCGTATTGAAGCCATGTTATTGTTGCTTCTTAAAAGGCAGAAAATATTGATTTTTCACGTTGAGAACTCCTATGAATAGCTGTTCTGATGAAACCTATTAGGTCGAAATACTTATCAACAGATACATAGGATTTGTTTGCGTGAAATCAAATATTTGCTGTCTTTTTCAATTTATTATTGGTAATTGTAACGCTAAAGTTACGTTACGGTTTTAAAGACTATTTACCGACCCACGATCGGCAAGCATAGTCTTCATGCTGTCAGCAACCAAAATGATTTACGCCTGATTTAACTCGCATCATCATTGGGAATCGTGGTAGTAAGTACATGTTTTCCTCACAAAAATACCCACAAAGCCACATGGTAATCACCAGACGGTCAAACATAAAACCAAATTGACCATGTACTAATTGATAGTCGACATTTCCTGGACGTACTAGATGTAAGAGCATGTAGAGGTGCTAATATAGACTCTGACCACTACCTTGTAAGAACAAAACTCAGTAATCGTATATAAAACGATAAGAAGGGCCAGAGCACATCTACGAAGTATAATACTGATGTGCTATAATCTGAAGACGTTAGAGATAACTACAGAAAAATTTTAATTGAAGAGCTGACAAGAATCGATACAAATTTAAGTATAGAAGAACACTGGACCAAATGCAAGGAAGCTATCCATATAGCGGCTAAAGGCTTTTTAAAACCTAAACAGACCAAAATAAACTAAGATTGGTTTGACTAACAATGTAGATCCATTAACCAACAAAAAAATGAAGAATATAAGAGACTTCATCAGCGCAGAACAAGATCAAACCTGGAAGACTATGAAAATCTTAGACGAGAAGAAAAAAGGACGTTTAGAAGGAAAAAGAAAGAGGCATACGAAAACGCTCTAAACGAGATTGTTAACCACCACAATAGAAAAGACTCGAAAAGACGCGAAAATTCTACCAGAAGATAAATAGCTGCAGAAAAGAATTCAAACCTAGAATAACAGCATGTAAAGACAGAGATGGTTCCGTAATTAGTGACAAAGAACAGATAATAAACAGGTGAGCGAATAATTTTAAAGAACTTCTTAGCGACAGTCGTGAAGAAGGCCAAATAGAAATTACTTTGCCTGAAATGGATGAAAATGCTCAAGAACCGTCCCCCTATCGAAGAAGAAATTAGAGAAGCCATTTCAAAACTGAAAAATAACAAAGCCCCTGGTTGGACAATCTTCCTGCCGAACTCTTTAAAAATGGTGGTGGAGGGTGCCGGTTTACAACATTCCTTCCATGGAGAGGCTTATATGCAACAGTGTCTCTTTCAGCGGCTTTGTTCTTGCTGTAAGCCCAATTAGTCCGCTAGCCTTCGACAGCTCAGTAGAGAAACTAAAATGGACTTTCAAAGTTGCTTTTATCTGGCCTGTTGAATTGATATAGTGAAATAAAACAATTACTTGTTTAGAAAGAAACTGTAATTGAAAAAAGAAAGGGCAAGAAATAGAGCTTATAAAATTTGAGTGTGTAACTTATCGTAGGAACTTAATTTGAATATTACAATTTGTGAACGAAAGCGAAAACACCATAATACTTATTCACATATTACGGCTTCCCGGTCAATTGCGTAAACTGCAACGTGGAGAATCCTCTCCGAACTTTTGAAATATAGATGTTAGCCCTACGAAAGTCGCTAAATCACTAGCCCCGCTGGAATATTTTTTTGTTTATGCATTTTGAAAAGCCGGTCTGTCGTCAAGTAGGCGCTGTGGGCGGGGATTAACATTCTCAGAAACAAGGTCTAGGTAGACTGGATTTATTTAGGTAACCGACGCGAAAATAGAATTATTTGATACAAAATAGAATTATTGGTTTGGAGATATAGTTCTCCAACAGGTGGTGACACCCTCTTTAAACACATGCATAAATTAGTAACCGAAATCTGGCAACAGAAGGAAACGCCCGCAGACTGGAAATCCCGCAGACACCCGCAGGTGTAATGCACCCCCTTCACAAAAAAGAAGATATGATGGTGTGTGATAATTATCACCCTACTTAACGTGGCATATAAAGTATTGTCCCTCATTGATCCCCTATGCTGAACAAATAGTTGGGAACTACCAGAGCGGTTTCCGACTCAATAAATCAACAACGGATCAAATCTTCACAGTCAGGTAGATTTTTGAGTAAACGCTTGAGTTCGGAGTCGACACCCACCATATATTCGTGGATTTCAAAGCCACATACGACTCAGTCAACGACTTTTCAAGACCCTTCCATTGTAAAAATGGACTGAGACAGAGAGATGGACTGTCGTGCCTCTTATTTAAGCTTGCACTGAAAAAAGTAATTCGAGAGTGCCATATTAATACGAATAGCACCATCTTTAATAAATCTGTACAAGTAGTCGGATATGCAGATGACATAGACATTATTGCTAGGTCCACAGAATCTCTGATCGAAGCTTTTCGATCATTAAGGGCGTCTGCACTGAGAATGAGATTAAAAAAAAACGCGCATAAAACCAAGTATATGTATTGTACTAGATCAGGCAACCTAGACTATTAATTGACGATCTGGAACTGGAAGGTGTGGACACCGTCAGCGAAGAAATTAAAAGAAGAATAGTGCTTGCCAATAAGTGCTACTATTTCTTGAGGAAACAGATGGTCCCAAAACTACCCAGAAAAATTAAAGTTAGCATATATAAAACACTAATAAGGCCAGTGTTAACACACGGGTCAGAAACGTGGTCACTTACACAGAACGACTAAGAATTTCTTAAACGTTTCGAGAGAAAAATTTTTAGGAAAATATATGGAGTAGCCAAGAACAGGGTTTGTGGCGTAGGCGCTACAATTTTGAGTTATACAGAAGTTTTGAGGAACCTGACGTTGTAAACTGTATTAAATTAGCACGCATTCGATGGATAGGACATGTAATTAGGACATCGGAGTTAAAGCATGGAGAAGAGTTGCCAGAGACAGGGGCGAATGGAAGATTGTTCTGAAGAAGGCTTTGGCTCATAACGAGCTGTAATGCCACTGATGATGATGAATAATAAGTAATATAGTAAACTATTAGGTACTATTACTTTTCACCCCATTAAAATTTGGTCCAAAAGGAAGTAACATCGTAACATAATTTGCTTTTACCAAATACTTAGAAGTTAGATCAGTTCAATATTTTCATTGTTGCTCTAATAGCTATCTAAGAGTAAAAGTACAGTTTTCTTCTTTGTAGTATGTATTAACTTAAAGATTCTTCTTCTTCTTGCAGTGCCTATCCGTTTCGGATGTTGGCGACCATTATGGCTCTCTGCACTTTGCACACTTCTGCTCTAAAAAGATTTGTGGTTGTTGTGTTAAACCACGTTCGTAGATTTTTCAGCCAGGAAATCCTTCGCCTTTCTGGTCCCCGTTTTCCTTCTACTTTTTCCTGCAAGATTAGTTGCAGCAGTCCATATCTTTCGCTGTTCCTCATGATGTGACCGAGGTATTCGATTTTGGCTGTTTTTATTGCGGTTAACAGCTCTTTTTCTTTTTTCATTCTCAACAGAACACCCTGATTAGTAACGTGGTCGGTATACGATATCTTCAGGATGCGACGATAAAGCCATATTTCAAAAGACTCAATTTTCTTGCAGGTGGCGTCTGTGAGAGTCCATGACTCAACTCCGTACAATAGTATAGGAAAGATGTAACATCGTAGTAACCTGATATTTATGGGCATTGATAAATCATGACATTTGAATAACTTAGCCATTTTTTGAAATGCAGATTTTGCTTTCTCTATTCTACATTTGATTTCTATGGAATGGTCCCAATTT